TACTCTGACAGATGCTTTAATGTGTTGTTTCATCCGATCCGTTCTTGTGCCTTTTCTCATCTCTTCCCGTTTATCGATCCACTACCGTCCCTCTTTTTTACTCTTCGATTGCTGCACGTCGAAACAATTCGCCTTTTATATGGTACAACGATTCATATTTTCTTCGAATTTCCATTGACTTGCTCTGTTGGAGCACTCTGCCATCCCCAACATTTCCCTTAGTGACCTCGTTCGCCTTGTGTTACATTTGTGTCGCAGCGTTCAATCCAGCTACGCTCCAATCACTACTCCCTACCTTCTACGCACCAGTGCACCGCGACTATTTCTGTTTCTGTGCTTGTCTCGTACATAAGAATATGTTGTACATATGATCATCCTCGTTCATGACTCACGGGACTTCGTGAAATATACAGTTATTATTAGTATTAGTATTATTATTATTATCATATCGTACTTACAAGTGCCTCGTCCCGCCTAATGCCGTCACCATAGGCAACTTACCCATTCCTATGAATACTTCCGTGAGAGACCTGGGGTATCAGCATTCCGGCTCGCTTAATTTTTCTGAACATTGTTCCCTACAGGTTGCAAAGGCTAAAAGAAATACAGCATTAATACACAGGAGCTTAATCCTTAAAGACAGCAAATTAGGTGTATACAAGCTACACTTAAGACCTCTCCTGATATACGGTTATTTTGTATACACAAACATGAACAAAAAGGACCTCGCAACTGTGGAAAGTGTCCAACGCCGATTCACGAAGCAACTCTTGGGCTTTAGCTCTACAATGACATATCAAGATCGTTGCAATACACTGAAATCGAGCCTCTGTGGCTACGAAGCATAAAACTTAATATTTGTTTGCTATATAAAGTGATTCATCGGCAAACTTACTCCATTACTGAAGTGAACTTCACGTCGAACACGTGCTACCCACTGCGTAACAGGAACCACACCCTACCTATGCCAAGACCCACTGTGTCCCTCCGTAAGAAGTTCTTCCTCATGAAATATTCCTCACTCTGGAATAAACTCCCAGCCGATATACGCTCCAGCCCATCCCTTAATCATTTTAGACATTCTGTTGACAATATATTTTCCGGATCTTCCCAATGTACATCTCACTATAACAGTCATACAAAGAAGGATTTTTTTTCTGAGCACATTAATACCCCTGCAAACGGTAACCCTGAACCGTGATCACGTGAACTACTTTTTCTCGTAAGTTGTCTTTAATATTCAGCTGGGACAAAACCCAGACTGTTGGTTTTTCTGTCCTTCTTTTCCAAATGTTTTCAGTGGCTGGATAGATGATGGCTTCAATGTGTCGCAATTCACTGCAAAGAAAACAATCGCCTCGCTAGAAGATGGAATAACCTCCAATAAATAAGCCCTACTGGAAAAAATAACTATCCGGCAGCCATGCATGATAAATTTACTCAAATGACATTGACACTACCTGAAATCACGCGGACCGACACAATCATCTACATTACAGGTCGGACACAAATACATCAGACTAGTGTCCCAACCCATTACTGTACATTATTGAACCTCTGATTGGAAAACTCACAATTTATTCAAGACATTGTGAAATATTTTATACCCCATTTATAATTTACAAGATATCTTTTAGCTTTCCTAGATCATCTCCCATTTTCGTAAACTCCAAATCCAAAATCCAAACGACCCAGGGATAGCAAGTTCTGAGTTCAGCCAGACGACACCTAAGGTTCAGTTACTCAAATGTAAGAGGATCGGAAAACTGAAATTACGGCTTCAGAGGGGATCTAAGAGGTTGCCTTACATGCTACCGTTATTTTTCATTTGTTTTTTATCGCCCTAGTCTTGAAGTCCCAAAGTATTTCATCTTAATTTTAATTTTATTTTTATTAATTCTTGAACCGTACAAATATCTTTACAACCCCGCTACCCAACTTTACAGGATAAGCTTAAGGAAACCAACACCCCCCCCCCAAATGAATGAGATAGGCGGCAACGTCTCCTAAAAGTGGTACCGTAAGACGCCCTAAATCATACGGATTAAAGGCACCGATGGCGGCTTATAGTCGCCGACCAGCCCAGCAAACAGGGAATGAGCCACAAATAATGGTCAACATGGGTGAACAGCAATGCATCTGCTATGCTGCCCTTA